ACGTTGTGGGGGCAGGTGCTCAGCTCCTCCTGTTGTTGTGCCTCTGCCTGGTGAGGAGAGGGATAAGGTAGGATCCCGACCCTCAACTCAGAAGTGGGTGGGTAGTGTAGTGTGGGATCATTTTGAGGTGGCAGATGATCCCAGGTATGTTACCAACTGAAGGCAGATCAGTCGGGGCAATGACGTGAAACACTTTGCCACCACAGCAATGCTGCTGCACCTCAGGAGATAGCACCCCTTTACCACTGTTCCTCCTCGACCTGGCACCAGTCGGAGCATGCCCAAAGGGAAGTCCCCCCCTTGCTCCAAAGGCCCTGTCCCCACGAAGCAGAGGCAGGCCACCCTGGACCAGTGGGGGAAAGGAGGAGACAAAGGTGGGGTGTGGCATTCCGAAGGTGAGCGAGGTCACCCAGAGCACTGGGGAGATGCTTGCTCTGGATGGCCAGCCCTTCTCCTTTGTTAAGCATCCATGGTTCAGGCGGCTCAGGCCCCAGCGTACCAAGTGCCCATATGCACCACCTTTAGCAGGACAGTGGTGCCCTCCCTGTATGAGACATGCAGTGAATACTTGAGGGAGGAGCTGCAGAAGGCAGATCTGCAGGTAGCCTTGCACTTCACCTCGGATATCTGGAACAGCTGGGGTAGAGATCATGCCTACCTCTCCCTCACAGGGCACTGGTACGATCAATCAGGGCATTGGTGGGCTCTCCTTCAAGTGGAGCTGATGGATGGGTCCCACACGACAAGGGAGATCATGGTGGCCATGAACTGCATGGTGCAGGGGTGGCTTGTTGGGCATAGCGAGCACCAACGACGCGACCAACATGGTCAAGGTGGTCCGTGATGCTAACTTTGTTGGCATCTACTGTGTTGCACACAAGTTCCACCTCATAGTCAGGGACACCTTGGAGGGGGACAGGGCTGCCAGTGAGGGCACTGTCACTACCAGCCAGCTTATTTCAAAATGCAGGAAAGTGGTGAGCATCAAGGGGGACAAGATGTTGCGGGACAAACAGGCAGAGCTGAGCATCCCGCAGCACAAAATCATGCAGGATGTGGAGACTTAGGGGAACTCCACATACCTGATGCTAGAAAGGCTGGTCGAGCAGCAGAAAGCCATCCATGAGATGGCCTTGCTCAGGGAGACTGGGATCAGCGGCCCCCTTAACAAAACAGAGTGGGATACCATCTCCCAGATCTTGGTGGTCCTCAAGCCATTCGAGGCCACCAAGAGCCTCAGCACTGGCAATGCCCTCCTTAGCCAGGTAATCCCCATAGTGAAGGAGCTTGAGAATGAAATTGAGATGTTCCAGGGGATCAGTATTCCTGGCTGGAGCAAGCTATTTTCTCCAGAGGTGCAGGCACTGGTGAAGCAGCTGAAGGAGGGCATCAAAAAACAGCTGGATCCATTGTGGTCCAGTACAATCCACATACTGGTGGGCATGTGCACCCAAGGGTGAAGGGGAGCATTCAATCACTAGATGGAGGTGCTGGTGAACAGAGTCAGAGAGGCAGAAGGTGGGGGGACATGGAAGAGAGGGATCCACTTTCCTGCACCAGCACTCCAACCACAAACCCATCTCCTGCACCACAGGTGCTGCCAATGTGGGCCAAGGGCATGGCTTCAATGTTGGGGGCCAGAGGTAGCAGACCCCACCATCACGCAGGTAGCACAGAGGCCTCAGTGGCTACCTATCTCGCCGAGGATGTGGAGCCACTGTACCCCTTGGTTTATTGGGCAACCCACAGCCAGGTGTGGCAGGATCTGGCCATGGTTGCCCAGGAACACCTGTCCTGTCCACCGACCAGTGTTCCAAGTGAGAGGGTGCTCAGCATTGTTGGTGATGTTGTGACACCCCACCGCACTTCCTCAGATCCTGGTTTGGTGGAGCAGCTGGCATGAACCTCCCGCTGCTCGGGTTCCCCAAGCTCCACGTGCTGATGGAGTAAGTGCCACCCTCCTCACTCCGCACCTATTTGATTTTTTTATTTGCTTTCAGAACCTTGAGGTGCACGTTCACAGAAACCCCTGCACCACTCTGCCTGAAACCTGGCACGCCTCATGCCCACACAAGGGGCTACCATCCCTGCTGCTTTCATTCCACTGTCTTAACACGTCCAAGTGATAGGAGTTTGTATTTCAAAATTTTGAGGTGTACTTGGTAGCCGAGTACACCCCTGAAACATGGAAGATGCCGAATTTTAGCCGATTTTGGATTTTAAACTTCATTGCAGAACATCAAGGAAGTTTTTCTGCCTCCCTGCCAGCCATCTGACACCTCCAGGGAAGGAATTCTACCTGATCAACACATCAAAGAGCTACTCAACACAGCTGACAACGACACTTATGGACCCAGAGGGACAGACTTCCATTTTCAGCTCCCTCTGTGCAAAAATGAAGTTTATTTCCCACCTATGGGGACTTTTTACCATCTTGTACCATCTACACTTTTCCCAGAGCCTGACGAAGGGACTTTGCTCCCGAAAGCTTGCAGAAAAGGACAATTTTCTTGCCATTTTCCAGTTGGTCTAATAAAAGGTATCATTCTGGAACCAAGAGTTCTAGTTTTTTATATAAAATTTTGAGATGCACTTTCACAGAAACCCCTAAACCTATCTCCTTGAAAATTGACAGGCATCATGCCCTCGGAAGGGGCTACCATCCCTGCTATTTTCATCCGAATCTGCAAAAACATGACAAAGTTATAGGTATTTTAGTGGTTCCCCATTATAGTCTATGGCCAAATCTCCAAATCGGCGCTGAATATCCGAATCCGAATCGACCAGATTGAATCGGGACAGTGATTTGAATCACTGAATCAAATCACTGTCCCTCCGAATCGGCCGAATCTGAATTGAATACTTGCTGCTTCGCACTGGCCTAGTACTGACAGTATATTAAAATATAAGAGCCACAAATATAATTTAGAGATTAAGAGAAAATTGTGAACTCACTCAGATACAAACCTAAGCAAGAGCTGAACACAGAATAATAGCTGTTTTAAATGGCTTGATGTTTTAAATTACACAGGATCAAGGGCATGTTTTTAGCCCTAATGTGTGATAATAAAAGGACACTGGTTTTAAACTCACCTCAATAAATTGTTACCCTCAGTTAATTCAAGCTTACAACAGAAGTGCAGCCACACTATCCTTTATGTGGTTTAAAGGATATTACTACTAATTGTAATTATTGGATTATTAATCACAGGGGTTCTATTCACAAATCTTTCTAAACACAGATCAGTGACCACATAACCCAAGAGGTTTCTGCCCTACTGGGTACATTCTTCTGGTGATACTTATATCCCCCAGTCAGCTCATTACTACCACCCAAGTATTAAATAAGTAGTTAATAATACATTATATTATCTGAGATTGCAATAACTGAACACAGTTTATTAGCTAGAGGGTGTAATTTAAATTTTAAAATATCTGCTTCTATAGAATTAAATACATTCTTTACATGTTCCATCTGCTACTTAGCGCTGCAGTGTCGGCTTCTCTCAGAGACCTGAGGAAGCATACTGTGGTACCTGGAAGCTTGCCTATGTCTGTCCTAACCATGCACTTGGTCCAATAAAGATATCACCCACAATACTTCTTACCTCTGACAATTTTTACATATTTGTTTATTTAAAAGCAGTACTCCACATTTCCATTGTGTCTTCTGGTAGGAAACTACCAAGTACTTTACATGCCTTTTTTTTTTAATAGCAAAGATCACTAGTTCCTGTAGTAGCTCCCACAGGGGATGGAATTTCCATGATAATTTCATTGTGAAATTTTTCTTGCCTATCATTACATTAGCTGAACCAGCAGGGTTTACTGTCCTCTCTCATATGTTGACGGGTCCATCCTCAAACCCAGCAGACATCTAGAAAGGCAGGACAAGCTGAAGCCTTATCTCTGCAATGGCTTTGGCCCCCAGAGACCTACTCATCTGATCCCTGGCAGCCTAACTCTGTTGGAGCTGTAGGACCAATGATACAATAGACCCCTGGGTGAAAGGGCTCACTACAAAGAACAGAGTGTTGGGTTTTATAGTCTTTAAATACCAAATGTCAAAGGTTCAAAAGAATTAACTGTTACCATTTTATAGTGGAGGGAGATTCATGCATGGAGTGCCCCCTTCAGGCACCAATTCAAGGGACATGATACAAGCCAATTCACATTTGGTTTCCCAACACTTAAGTAAACATAATCTGCATTTTCCAGGCAGGAAACTTCAGCATATGACAACTGTCCAGGGTCTCAGAGAAAGTCAGTGGTGAAACTTGAAACAGATTCAGATTAGTCTCTTGATCCTGTGCCTTTCACCACAAAACCACTCAGCCTTCTTTCCTCCCATGTACTTGAAAAATTATTTCATATCTTGACATCTGTCAAAGCAGCTTTCTGGTTGTACTGAACACATTTCACAGGGGTATCTGAAGGGAACATGACTGCTTCCATTCTTGAATGCTAGTAGTAAAAATGACTGTCATAATGAGCATACAGTGTTTGCAGTGGGAAATGTGGCCAGTCTTGCACACAGTTACACTGTAATGGGACTACTCACCTGTGCAAAGTTAAACACACATGTTAGTTTGCAGGATAACAGCTCATGACTTGCAGAGTGAAATCCTGTCTTGGGAGTCAGTAACAATGCATGTTAATTGGAATATTCACTGAACTATAGATACCAGTGTGCATCTGCAGAAAGGATTGAAGAGATTGAGTGGAGCACAAATCTCTTTAAAGATCCTAACTCATTAAATTCCCTTTTGCTTTAAAAGTAGAAAATAAGGTCAATAATAATGTTCACTTAAAATCATTAATATAGGTGTTATTTTGCTGAGGTTTTAGTTATATAGTCAGTGTGGAAAATGCATATTTTCCTTCAAATAAATGTTGTTCATCATTCATGTCTTCTCCAAGAAAAATGCAATGTGAAAAGAAAAGTCTACAGTAGAAAAATTCAGTCAACATTATTCAAAGTAATTTAATTTCCACTAATAAGGAATATAAACATATTAAACACAAACCAAAACATTTTTAAAAGACTGTATGGCATTATTACAGTGTTTTAGCTCAATACAAATGTAATTTGCAATTTTATAAAAATTATAAGAAAGTATAGCAACATTTTTAAGTAACACATCAGACAGTATAGAAAAAATAAATCTCAACATTAATAGTACTTTAAACATTTTCAATGTAAGAATTTTAAAAGTGCTTTTTAATGACAGTGTCACAACTCAAAATTAGTGCAATATGCCAAATACATTTTAAGCAAATATTTATAGCAAGTTGTACAATTTTCTATAACTAACAGACCAGAAGTCTGAGAACTAGTGTTAACTGAGGTAAGTATTTCAATTACAACTAAACATTACTTAAGTGCCTTACAAGCTGATTCTATCACTAGGAAGAAAATATCGGCATCCCTTCATGTATGCACTGAACCCTAAACAACACATCATGAAACCAGCGCTACATCAGTGAATATTTAGAAGTAAAATGGCTTCTCCAAAATATTTCAACTGCTTAGAAAACTTATAACTCTATGCCACAAACAGTATTTAATACATAGGATATTAACCTTAAGTATCAAAGCCTTTATATAGGATAAATGTACCTAATTAACCTTTCAGCGCATTATTTTGTTTACAATTCATAACATATCTAAAAAAGCCCCACTTCCAAATTTAATAGTTAGCATATCTTGAAAATTAAGCAAGCTTCATTTGGAAATTTCACAGTATGTTTATCACTGAATAAGTACATGACTTTGATTACAGTTATTGGCATAGCTACTGCCAAGCTCTTTAAGCGAATGAAAAAGGGAACGTTAAAAGAGAAAAGAATCCCACCCCACTACTATACACACTCTGATCCACTACAAACTGATAAAGGTAAGAGGCACATGGTACCTCTTAATCCGGGAGTACCTTCCAAAGCTACAGAGAACTGGGCGGAACTATGCCCCAAGCAGTCCTGCCTCCCCACCCCCTTGCACCTTCCTTGCAAAGACTTGGGCTCCAGAGGCTATGGCACCAGGGAAGGAAAATCAACAGGACAGTGGAGGAGCAACAGCAAGAGGTTCACTATCGCTGAGGGAAGATATTGACTCATTTTTTTGCCGCAGAGACATGTCCAGCAGCCTATGGTTTTTGGTGAGACAAAAAGGAAATGACATACCCCCTCCCCCCAGAAACGATATTTCTCAAAACGCCCTTTATTGAATGCTCTTGCACAGCGGCTGTTACTGTGCTTCCCCCCCCACCCAGACCTGAAGCAGAAGGAGAGAGGGGAGTATGGGACATTGAGATGCCTCCACTCCATTCTGGTGTCCTCCCCTCCCCTCTTTCTTCAGCAGCCCCCTGAGGTGTGCTTCACTCTTCGCATCCTTATGCTACTCCACAGTTAACCTCTTCAAGCAACAATACTTACTTTTTTAACTGACATTCTTCATAATACTTATCTTTATTGAACTGAATGTCTTAAATGTTGATTATTCAGTCTCTTTTTGTTAAAGCCCTCACTTTTAGAGACACAAAAAGAATAATGTAATAACTGAATCCTCAGGCCTCCTATGTAGATTATGACAAGTCTTTTTATTCAATTCCTTTAAAGTTCATTTATAAAGGAAGAGTTTAGTCATTATGTGGAAATGGAGTAAATTATAAGCCAATGCATTACTTTATATAGGTTAGGCCTGTTGTCACACAGGCCATATGCTGCAGGGGCAGACTTCCAGGACCCTCCTGCACCCTGCATTGGCTGTGTGGTTGGCACATGGCTCTCCCCACCACATGGGCTGCATGTAGCCCCCACCTAGGTCTTCCTCCATCCTGCTACAGAAGGAGAGGCAGCTGCATGGGCCTGTGTGGGCCCACTGGATGGACAGCCCTGATATACGTGACGGCTTAAAAAAGCCAAACTACTATTTTTCATAGTACTGCATGTAAACATCAATACTGAATTGATCATTAAAGAACAACCGCTCTGTACCTCCACTAGATAAAAAGAAATAGATAAGTACTATAAATCAGAACATAAAACAATTTTACATCCAGTTTCCATTTGAATCTCTTTTTCTGTACTAAGAGCATTAGGAATTTAGGGTTTAATAGACACAAAATATTTTAACTACCTCCCAGTATCAAACTTAAGCATTAATTAGATTTTTTTTTTAAATAAAAGTTATTTTGTATCTCTTATTGACAGGAATGGTTAATAATGGTGGCCATAACTAGAAAAATTCAAGTAACTAGATCATTTACTAAACAAACGACTCTGATGGTATACATGTAAAGAGTGAAACTCTATTGCTTATCATTTCAATAATTTATATTTGGCAATTTTTACTCCTGGATAATAAATTCTTGGTCATTAATGAGTTATATATTCATTTATTAATTTTTAAAGATGTCCAATCTATGTAAACATGAACTTTTTTGATCCTTCAATATTTTGAATTGCATGCTAATATTAAATGAGAAAAAATACTATACTTAGAGCAAAATATTCAACAGTGACATAAGATCATATTACTAGTACTGGTATAAACACAGAGAAGTATTATAGATTACTGAAGTGGGAAAAGATTTCTGACAACTGTTTGAATAAATATTATTCCCTAATCTCACAGTGAAATGTGAGAGATTGCACACCTAGAGTTGTTTGCATATTGTTGAAAATCTACTCCAAAAAAGTAGGTAAATTGAGTCACCCTTTCTATTACTCCTCTCTTCCCCACAGTCTCTTAGTATTCCTGCCTTTTCTGCTACTCTGTCCTCTCCACAGGATCTGAATGTCAAAATATATGATCAAAATCTGGAAAATGGAGCAGCAGCATAAAAAAAAGCTGAATCTGCATTTTCATTATCTTTAAAAAGATTGAGAAGTCCTCATTCCAGACCATTCTCGCTCTGGACTCTGCCTCCTTCCATGTACTAACGCCATTAAAGAGAGGCCTTGGACAGTCTTCAAATCTTACCCATGCAAGTCTTTTCAAGAAAACAGTAAACTCTCCACAAAAATAAGAGAAGGAATTAAAGCTTTCTATACCATATGATATAAAGACAAAGACACTGTTCTTAAGTGCACACCTAAATTAAACCTCAAATATCTGCAGCTTTTCATATCACAGCTGCTCAAGAGGGCTTCAGGAGTCAGTCAGACATTTAGAATCATTTTGGGACCACCTATTATATTCAATTCTGTTAATGTTTTATAAGGCAAGTCAGTCTTTTGCAAATGTTAAATTAACCCTGATGGAGTTGTGGAGACTTCTTGTCCTTAAGTTTAACACACAATACAATTAGTAAGTTTTCTTTTCTCAAACTTAGTATTGTCTTACTGCAGTGACTACTTAGTTAAATCTGAACTGGAACCTCTAATCATCAGCTCTACCTTGGGGTTCTCCGCTCCTCTGGTTGCTAGCTCCTTGTTAATAAGTCGCAGGTTGTGCAAATTAAGAATGGAATCAGCAATTATCCGTGCTGTCCTCTTCTGATAGCCTCCAGATGTCACCATCAAGATAGGGATTCTGCGGCTTCTGGCCGCCATGAATACTATTTCATCTCTTTTAACGATTCCCTAGATATTTACAACAATAATTAAAAAAATCAAAGTGAAATTATTTTAAATGTGATGGTTTAAGTTTTTACTATTACGTATTACCAGTCTATGGCTTATTCATTGCTACTTTTATGTTTGAGAAACCACTATTATGCCACTTATTTGTTTTATTTCATAACAGGAATTCAATGAAAAGCTGTTAAATAATCATTTCACATATACTTTATGAACATCCCATCCATTAGCTTTGGCTTTCTGTCCAACACCTTTACAAAGATTATCTATTATTGGCATGACACTTCTGATTTAAGGCCAAAATAGATTGGAGTCCTTCTTCTGCTAGATGTACAAATTCCTAAAAGGAGTACCAGCCCCAAAATTATATAGATAAAGACTAGGAGAAAAAGCTATATTTCTCTTTCAGAAATATATAACACCCCCAGTTCAAGACACTGAACTTCATCAGGACCACTCTCATGCTTAAAATCAAGTGACTTCCCACAGATAACAAGAGAAGTCAGTAGCACAGCCTGGAACTCAGCTCAGCCACTGGGTCCATATTCATTCTAGTCCATAGCATCATCCATCCTCTTTTAAAAAGAGTGCCACATTACTGCTATAAAATCGTATGCATATGTTATGTTGCTGAACAGGGTGTTTCATGATCCAGAAAACAGAAAGTCTCAAAAGAGACTCCAAATGTTCCACACCAAAGCAATTTCTTATTAATAAAGGAGGAAAGGGACTAAAACAGCAAAGGAAAGCTTGATGACAAAAAGGGCAAGTACATCATAGAATTCAGCACAGAAAAGAATGGGCTCATACAATGAGTACAGATATACACAATTTCAAGAAAGCATATTTGGAGGAATGGGGGAATTCAGAAATTTTAAAAGAAAAAAGATAATTAAAATCCACATAAATAGAGAAAGTAGGACAAATATAAATGATAGATAATGAAAGGTGTTATCAATCTACTATAATGCTTGCGAAAGAAACTACAGCTTCAAGACGGACAGCTCAAAAAACTAAATGTTAACAAACTACACAAATGGAGAAAGCAGGGAGGGCTAGGCAATATGCAGAATCATGACATTGTCATGGGGGAGAGGAAATACCAGAGGTGATACAGAATGTGTCTACACTAGCCTGACATGCTAAGAAGAACAATACTGCTCCTCATATCTATTAGGAAAGAATAGTGGAAAATTAGAAAAATGCATGCACACACCAACTGCTGAAACTTCCTTAGCCTGACGAAGGGTTTTTGAACCTGAAAGCTTGCTTAATAACTATTCTCCAACTATTTGGGTTGGTCTAATAAAAAATATCAAATTCACCCAAGGGACCTTGTCTGCCTATGACCATAAATTAATAACTCCAGCAGATGAAAATAAACATTAATCTATAATTGATACAAATGATTCGCTAATAATGTTTGGCTGTTTAAAAGGGTACCGTAAGACAACAAAGAACAGTAAAATAAGATTAAAATAAAACTACATTAAGAATGAAATGTAGAAGATGGTAAACTGCAAGGAAAAACTCTGACCTCAGAGGAAGATGGAAACTTATAGCTATGCTTACCAAAATCATACAGATGCAACCTCAATAAATAATCAAGCACCACAATCCAAAAACAAGGATTCTCAAAAGAACATGCACTTTTCACATTATTAAGAATTCTGTAATTGTAAGACCAGTAATAAAAGAGTCTGTATAATAGGGGGAAAAAAAACCAGCAACAATTTTGAGCTGCTAGAACACTTTCTGGTCCAAGAATCAAAATGCTTTACAACAGGGGTGAATTAATCCTCATAAAGTGATGGTCTACTGCAACACAAAGCAGCTTGCTCAATATCACATGTACTCCATGAGACAGCCAGAAACAGAACTTAGATCTCCTGACATTCACTACTCTGCTTTAAACATATCACCTATTTTCAACTATGTACAACTGGCAGTTTAATTCAAACATTTTTAGAGCCAAAAATGTTGTACTACAGTCTTTTAGTTATAATTTCCTTCTAATTTTATTATAAAAAAATTTTTTTTAGTTTCAACACGGAAATTTTTAGATTCTTTTAAATATACATTATCTGGTAAATAAAGTATGCGGTGTATTCTGACTCAGCAAAAAATGTACTCCAAAACTCACTTTAAAAATTCTATCAGCGTAACTGTTTTCTGATTAAACTCCTTTTTAACCTGCTTAAATATTTACATCATAGAATAAAATTAATAATAGCAGTTGTTTTGATGATTCTTCAGTTACCTAATACTTAGAGATTCATCAATTCAGCTTTGATACTAAACTTCTCTTCTATCATCAATGACAACAGAAAATTAGTATAATCACTCAAACCAACGCTGAACATCAACCCTTTGGCACACTATGTTATTATTCAAGTTTCTGCCAAAATGTCTACATCCTGAAGTATTTTAGCTGATTTCATAAAGTACAAGACAAGAGTCATTAGAAAAATACTGAAGACAAGTGAATAAAACAGAGCTGGCTTCATGTTACCAGCAAAGGCATATTAAGGATAGACCTACGGACATTTAGAACTGCCCTAAATTATATGAAGAAGTGTGGGTTCCCTGGGTCCTAAGGGGACAAACCATTGCTTAAAATGGCAAGGACTGAGCCAAAAGGTAACTGGCAGTATTCACAGGCCCCTGGGTTAATTAAATGGTGCAATGGGATCTGAACACAGATCCAAACAATCATGCAGCAGGATGTGCACCACAGGACACAATTTTGGGGATGATGGATCTCCCAATTACAACCTGCTGGTGCAGGCAACAACATTCTTTTAACTTGTCAGCATATGTGGAGTCCAGGATTGTGATCCCTTGATCAGCTGCCCCCCAACGCACCAAGTTCAAAGCCAGGTGTCTGGCCACCCCACCTGCAGGGAGGCTGAGCTGCCAGGCACACAGCTCTGCAAATACTGGGCTGGGGGGCAAGTTCAAAGCTGGGCAAACGATCAGCTCCCTACCTGGCTCTTGCAGAGCTCTGGGCAGCCACATCCTGGTTCAAACTACCCCAGTCCCCATGCCCATAATAATCAGCTGATTATTAACTCAGTCTCAAACTGGGCCAAGGCTTGTTGTTGGCACAGGTACTAGGGCACAATACGTGTTCAATTTAAGGCACCATACAAACCAGCCATTTCATTATATGTGGCATATCTTTGTGGCTGGTTTGCCATTTTATGGCTCCATAATACATTGGCTGAACATATGGCATGTTGCCATCTACAGTGGGATTAACACGTTAATTGTATCATAAATGTAATGTCTTCCAGGGGCCACATTTGACTAGATGGCCCCATCTTCCCCACCAGTTTCTGCAAGCTCATGTCTTGCTGATTAGAATGGCATTGAAGAAGAGAGAGATGAAGCTTGTCCAAGTAGCTGTTTGCTGCCAGAAGGGACAACAGGCAGGTTAAAATGACTCTACAGCACATCTTACACTTGATGCTGCCTTCTACATATGAACAAGGCCAGAGGAGACTACTGCTGACATTTCCTCCGCTCACATCTGGACAACACACTGACTGGAAGCTAGGTGGTAAGAAACCTTGCATTCTCCATTAAGCAACACCTTGAGCCTGAGCATGGGCTTAGTTCTGCCGCAGAGAGGTGCCGTCACCAACTCCTTCTCTGATAGGTGGCTGAGTCTGCAGCTTCTCAGAGCACTGCCACACTGTCTTCTAGCTCAGGATCCCACCCCACACTTTGTGGTCAGCAAAACCTCTTTCTCCCCACTAGTTTCTGTCCTTCTCCACCCTCTGCTCACTAACTTCATTCTTGTGTACCTTCTAACTTACCTTCTACCTTTAAGCAACACAGATATCTACCACTTTTTCCCCTTTCTTATATAGAAGATGTTGTTCTTAGGAGTCTCCTCCTGTACTCCATTGCTACCTCCATTTCTGCCCACTATTCTTCTCTTCCAGAAGATGGGAAGTCAGAGCACATATAGAGTCCTTTCTAAGCTAACTAGCAGAGACCTCTAGACATCTCAACTCCTTGCCCCTGCTTGCCACAAGAGCAGAGCTTGGAGAGTCCCAGCAGTTTATGAAGTGAAGACACCCAGCTCACAAAGAACTTAGCAGGCAGAGAAAGAGCACTGAAAAGGAAGAGAATGTTCAGACTAATGAGGAGGCTGAGAACTGAGGGCACGGCAAAGAACATTAAAATAGGTTTCAAGGAAGGAAGAAGGTATTGAGCAGGGAGGGATGCCTAGGACCTGTGGGACAGCCTGACAAATGAACGGATTAAAGGAATCCAAGAAATGAACTGATGATTAGAGGGCTCTGAAAAGCAGTGAATTAAGAGATGGAAGAGTGTATGTTATTGGATTGGTAAAGAGGAAAAATAACTGATTTTGGGAATGGGACAAAGCACTGAACTTATGAACTGGCTGAGAAGTAAACTAAATCAACCGGTGAAGATTTGATAAATTAGACCGGGGTAGGCAACGTTTTTTGGCTGCAGTGCCGAAAAAACCCACAATGCCTACCCTGGAAGGTGCCAGAGTGCTGGCATGCCAGAAAAACAAAACGAGGGCATGGAGTACATATCAGGATGCCCTGCTTGTGCCTCTTGCCCACCACCCAAAGCCCATGCCCCCCAGCCCTGCTTCCCCTTGCCCCGACCCAAAGCCCCTGCCCCCAGCCCTGCTGCCCCATGTCCCCCCAAGGCCCTGCCCCCCAGCCCTGCTGCTCATGCCCCTTGCCTCCCACCCAAAGCCCTTGGCCCCACCCCTGCTGCCCCCGACCCAAAGCCCCTGCCCCCCAGCCTTGCTGCCCCTTGCCCACACCCAACCGCCAGCAGCGGAGCTGTTTGCACTCTGCCTGATGCTTGCTGCAGCTGCCCAGAGCCCGGGC